CCTCTTTCTTCTCCTTCCTACTCTCTCTCCTTCTCTTTTTCTCTCTTCCTCCCTCCTCTCCTTCTCTTTCTCTCCCTTCCACCCACCTCTCCTTACTTCTTTCTTCTTCCCCTACCTCTCCTCCACATTTCTTCTTCCTCTCCTACTATCTCTCCTTCTCTCTCTCTCTCTCTCTCTTCCACCCTCCACTTCTTTCCTTTCCTTCGTCCCTCCATTCCCTACTTCCTTCCTCCCCTCCTCTCCTTCCTTCTTCTTCCCTTCCTTTCTTTTTCTATTGTTATAGGTGTCTCTTTCAAATCCAATCTCCAGAGCTGGCTGGAGAATTCTGGGAGTTGAAGTCCACAAGTCTTAAAGTTGCCAAGTTTGGGAACCACTGCTGTAAAGTGACAATTGCTTTGTTCTCAAAGATGCCTGAAAGAGAGATTTTACGGGGGCCTGTGTGTATGTCACACGTTTCTCTGCTGCTTCCGCTGAGTTGTTTATCTGTAAGAAATCAATTTTCCCATCTAACGGTAATAACTGTGTAAGGTTTATTTCATGGCGCCTTCCTCCTCCTCCTCCGAAAAAGGCCTCCGAGGCCTCATCCGAAAAGTTATGTTATTACCCTTGACGGATTTGCTCTTTGATCTGCATTGTTTTTTTAAGACAATCAGGGCGATGCGTGGAAGGAGGCTCCCTTCTTCGTGTCTTCTCTGATTTTGCCCTTTCTTCCTTCAGGCTGCAGATAGAAGAATCCTCCAAGCCCGTCAGCTGGACCATGCAGCTGGACAAGGCCGTCACCACCAATTACAAACCCGTCTCTAATCATCAGTACAACGTGAGTTGCTTCTAGCCTTTTTCCTTCTGCTCCTTCGACTGACGCTCAGTGGAATAGAATAGAAATGAGATGATGGATAGAATGGAATAGATTAGAATAGGGAATGGAATGGAATAGAATGGAATAGAATAGAATAAGGAAAGGAATAGATTAGAATAGGGAATGGAATGGAATGAGATGGAATAGAATCGGGAATGGAATGGAGTAGAATAGAATAGAATATGGAATGGAATAGAATAGAATAGAATATAGAATAGAATAGAATAGAAATGAGATGATGGATAGAATAGAATGGAACAGATTAGAATAGGGAATGGAATGGAATAGAATAGAATAAGGAAGGGAATAGATTAGAATAGGGAATGGAGTGGAATAGAATAGAATATGGAATGGAGTAGAATAGAATAGAATATGGAATGGAATGGAATAGAATAGAATAGAATAGGGAGTGGAATGGAATGGAATAGATTAGAATAGGGAATTTCTCTCCATTTAGTCTTTCCTTAAACTTTACACCTGTTCTCTAGCCATTTGTACCACTCATTTCATACCACATAGTATATGGTTATCTATCTATCTATCTATCTATCTATCTATCTATCTATCTATCTATCTATCTATCTATCTATCTATCTATATCTCTTGTTGTTGCGGTTAAACAATGTTCCCGAACTAGCTTGAAAATGTGCATTTTTTTCCTTCTTCTGTTATTTTAATCAATAGATTGAGTATGACAAGAAGAAAAAAGAAGATGGAAAGAGAGCCCGCGCTGAAAAGCAGCAAGTGCTGGACATGCTATTTTCTGCTTTTGAGAAACACCAGTATTACAACATCAAAGACTTGGTGGATATAACCAAACAGCCAGTGGNAAAAAAAAAAAAAAAAAGGCTCCGACCTAGGGAACGGGGCTGTCCTCTTTAGGTAGATTCGTAGGGCCCTACAGGCATCTAATCTATGCCATTGACACTCTCTCTCCCCCGATGGCCCGGGACAGAGGTCCGGGAGGACCACCTCCTGTGATCTGTGGAAGAGATTGTTGACCTTTGGGAGAAATGTTGGGTCTAATCAAAGGATCATTCTGTTTTCATGAAAGGTGCATAGGTCAGCACGAGATGACAGAGCTCTGAGTTCCAAAATATGCCTGGCAAAGGTGACCACTACTAGGAAGGCCACCTTAAGCATTGGGAACTGGAGAGAGACAGTCCTAATTGGCTCAAATGGTTTGCCCACTAGGACCTGGAGAACTGTAGGGAGATCCCATGAGAGAAACCTGTGGGCCACCGGGGGCTGCAGGTTGAAGGCCCCTTTAAGAAAATGCCGGATGATCAGCTGGTGGGCTAAGGTAGGGTAATGACAATCCCCCAAGACGTGGAAATGGCTGCCATCTTAGGGTGTTGTGTGCTAAGTATCATTCAAGGCCGTCCTGGAGGAACTCCAGGATCAGCGGTGGGGATGCCCATACGGGGTCGATGACCTTTGTCCCACACCACCTAGCAACGCCGACCAGGTTGTGTTATAGATGTGAATTGTTGAGGGCCTCCTGGATGCCTCAATGGTCCCAATTACCCTGTCTGAGATGTTGTCCACCCTCAGGATCCACCTTCCAAGTGTCAGGCGGTCAGTTGAAGCCACTGGGGATCCGGATGGAGAAATACACCCTGGCACAAGATAATCTGATCCTGATGAATCCTCCACGGGGGCAACACTGACAGGTGGACGAAGTCCTCAAACCCTGCCCACCTGGGCCGGTGTGGAATTACTATCACTATCTCTGCCCCCTCTGTCTCTAGTTTCCTGACCACCCCTGGGAGGAGAGGGTGGGGAGGGAAGGCATAGAGAAGGCCTGCCAGCCAGCGGCAACAAAACACATCTATGTCCTCTGCTCCATGTGATGATAATCGGGAGATGAATCACAACAGCTGGTCATTTGCTGGTGGGCCAAAAAGGTTGACTGCTGGCATCCCAAAGCGATGGCAAATCTGCTGGAACAGCTCGAGTTGCAACTGCCACTCCCCATAGTCCACGGTGGCCCTGCTTAGTCGGCCTGCAGGTTCGCCGATCCCGAGATGTGCTCTGCCATAATTGATCCCAGGTGTCTCTCCGCCCATGTGCCTAGTCTCAGAGCCTCAACCCATAGGGACTTTGAGTGAGTGCCCCCTTGCTGGTTTACATGGGCTTTTGCTACCATGTTGTCCTTCAGCAGGAGCACGTGTTGGCCCTTGAGCCAGATCTTGAAGTGGAGTAGTGCTAGGCGAGCCACCTTGAGCTCTAACCAATTTATGTTGTGAAGCAGGTCGGTCTCCGTCCACCATCCCTGTGCTACCTGGTTCTCTAGCACCACCCCCAACCATAAAGGCTGACATCTGTTGTTAGTGTTAGATGAGGTGGCTCCCAAATTTCGGATTCCAGACTCAGGGATGGAGACAGCCACCATCGTAGGGACAGAAGAACCTGCAGAGAAAAGCGCACCAATGCCATTGATGTGCTGGTGCCCTGTTGCAGGAATGGAATCAGGGCCCATTGCAATGTTCTGGAGTGTAAGTGGGCACAGAGCACGATGCCTATGCAGGAAATCATTTTTTCTAAAAGGCTGAATACGGACACCGACCGAGCCCCACATATCTGATGTATTAGTTGGAGAAGGCTATCTCGGCGGTCCGGTGATAAGAAGACTCATCCCTGTATCGTGTCGTTGACTGCCCCCAGATGCTGAAGTCTTCTGTCGTGTTGTAGGTGGCTTTTTTGAAAGTTCACTGAGAACCCCAGAGTTTGCAGTGCCTGTATTGTCAGCTGCAGGTCGTGTCGTGCCTGGGCCGCCGTTGATGCTTGGATGAGGACATTGTCGAGATAGCACTGGATTCTTACTGGGACTGTTCACAGGTAGGCTGTCACCACTGCCAACACCTTTGTGAAGGTCCGGGCTGCCGATGCTAAACCAAATGGGAATGCCCTGTATTGGTAATGTATACCTGCGTATAAAAATCTAAGAAATTTCCTATGATTTGCGAAGATCAAAATATGCAGGTATGCCTCGGTTAAGTCAATGGAGGCCAGGTAGTAACACTCTTTGATGCCTGCTAAAATCAATTTCAATGACGACATCTTGAATCTGTGATACACCAAGTGGTGGTTGAGGGAAGTCAGGTTTAGTATAGCCCTCCAACCCTCTGATGCTTTAGGGATCACAGAGAGGTTGGAGTAAAACCCCAACCCCTTCTCCGCTTCTGGGATCAGTTCTATTGCCTGAATGTCAAGGAGGTGAGTGATGGCCTTTCTCATAAGTTTACGCTTTTCCCTGACCTTGGACATGGAGAAGACCCTAAAGCAATTGGGGAGAAATGAGAAGAACTCGAGCCTGAGCACCTCATGTTCTGTGCTAAGTACTCATGCATCCATGGTGACCACCTCCCAGGCTTCTGCAAAGATGGTGAGGTGACCGCCAATGGGATGATCCCCTGAGGAATCACTTCCCTCTGCAGAAGGAATGGCTGCCTCTCCCTCAAAAGGGCCTCCTACCCTGGGACTGATAGTGGTTCTGGTACTGAGGCTGAAACCTCTGTCTGTCCCAGTTAAACCCCCTATCTGCCTTTCTATAGGTACTGATAGTACCTATGAGATGGTGTCTCGTGGTCTGGAGGTCTATAGGCTGGTCTGCGAAGATAAGTGCCAGCCGTTGTTTTGCTGGTACAGGCCAGAGGCAATGCCATATGAAATGGCCTGTGCGATGATTTGTTGCAAGTGTTCAGGGATGTCCTGCATGAAATCCTCAGGGGGCAACTCATCCCTTGAAGGGGATTCATCCCTAATGGTTGGAGGAACCCCAGGGGCCAGAGAGGTATAAGGAATCATGCTGAAGGTGGTACAGCTAAAGGGATTACCCTGTAACTCACCCACGTTTCTACCAGACAAGGATGGGGGGAGAAATTTCCCTGCCCTTCCTAGAATGTTGGGAAGAAGGGGAAAGGGCTCTTCTCCTGCTGGTGAATCTGGACCTATGAGCAGGGCTGATGTTGCGGTCTGCAGAGACTAGAAGCCTCTCAGCTCTGGCCATTCTTTTTTCTAGGATTTTCTGCCTGCATTGTTCATCCTTCTCCACTGCCGTGAATTGGCGTTGAACTGCAGGGGCCCTGCGTCCCTTGGACTTGGCCTTCCTGGGTGGGCTGGATTGGCTCTGGGCATTGGAAGTGCCAGCCTGCCTACTGGGGCTATTGCAAGGCATGGCTAAGCCAGGCTCTGCCACTCATCTGTGACTCTCCTCGCACTCAGTTCAAAGCAATCGGCTTATCTCTAAGCCAATGCAGCTCTTTCCCTGTGGTGGGGCTTAAAATGGCCACCGTAAGCTGCTTGTGCTTTTGGAATCCAAAATGGCCACCGCTACTCTCCATGGAGCTCCAGAGCCACTGCTGTTCATGCAACTGCCTCAGGAAGCTCAAACAGGTGATTTTAATGAGCCTCTCAACCTCCAGGAGCCCGGAGAATCCCTCTGCTCCTTAAGGCCAGTCAGGCAAGGTCTTCCCCTTTTGGGGTTAGGCCACCCAATAGACTGCCTCTCTAGACCTTCCAGCAATTTAGAATTTGAATTGTCCAATTAATCTGATTTTCTTTTTAAAGATGTTTGAGGATTGAGAAATTAACTCAGAAGTGGAGACAAGGAAAATACTTCTTCTCTTAGACCAGACTTAGTTAAACTGGGCCAAGGAAGAAGGAGAGTCATAGGTGTGGCTTCTGAATTATTGACTCAGTCTCTCAACCAATCAGACTATGAGAATACCCACTCCTGAGCCGTCCTACTGTATCCATGGAGAATTGAAGAAGTTAACACAAACAGAAAGTCACTCAAAGGATAAAGGCATGGTCAGAATGTCGGATTACTAAATCCCAAATGCAAGAGCATTGGAGGTGGTGACCTTTTGAGAGCTGTATACAACAACATTTCATTTTAATGTATGCTGATTAGTGTACATTCAAAGTGACAATAAAGTTATTTAAGTTCTTCTAAAAAGCCAAATATTCAATTAGCTTCACTTGGAACGGTCAGGGAGATATGATGGTTATTAAGGAGTGGTATTCTAAAACTAGGACGGCACAACAGATGACAACTTTCATATAATGCTTGTGTTAATAATAGTGCCAAAAGATTAGATTTCTCCAACCAGGTGATTTATTCTTAAAAGGATAGGAAAGTATTCTAAGCCAAAGGACAAGGAGAGAGAATTCAATGAGAGCTGGAATATCTGTGTAGTTCTAGAATGTCCTATATAGTATGGTCTAAACCAGAGAAACTTTTCAAGAACAGTTCATACTTTTATTCAGTGGAACAGAGTTCAATTCCAAATAATATATTTGGGAACTTAATATTAATTATGCCCATCAGTGTTTCAAGGACTTAGCAAAGGTTTTCCTAGCGATGGTTACTCCATTGACAGTTTGCCATAGAATTAGCATTTGTGCAGCATTTTTTTTTTTGCAGTTATTACTGATGACTAATAAACTAAATCTCTTAACTGTAGGTCATAACATCATAATGACAGATTAAAATAACGGGGGAATAACAGATGCTGGAAATGACAGCATGTCTGATATGATTGCTCCAAGATGAAATCATTTTTATAAAAATTGTTACATTTCATTTTTTAAATTATTTGTTTAAAAAACAAGACATTAACTAAAACAATGACAAGATCAAGCTTACATAAAACTACAATTGTTTATAGAATAATTGTGGATTATATTGAGGTACAGAATGAGCAATATAAACATTAATTTTATATAATTATAGGACTTTACAACAAGATTCATGCAATCAGCCTATTTTATAATTAGGTATAATAGAATTTGTCAAGTAATATATTTCACAAAAGGTGAGCAGCTCTGTCAGATCCTGCACAGAACCAATGAAGGACAAAAGAAAGCATTCTTTCTTTTTAAAACTAAACACAATTAACAATGCATTATTGAATATTTTTACTCAGTAAATCTTTTGCTTTTTGTATGCTCAGAATCTTCATTCAGTAATCTAAATTCCCCTGATTATTAAGATGACACTCATTATTCAGTGGCAATGCTACTATCTTGACACCAATAGCTAAAAAGAAAACAAAATGTTATGAAAAGCAGTTGTTTTCATGAGTCAAAGTAATATTGGTCTTATGAGAAGGCTAGTCTTTCCTTGGCAAATATAAATTATTGCCACAGTTCCCATGGCAGCCCCTGTCTAGAGAGTTTAAGTTCATGGAAAGACAGGACAGAACTTTTTTGATGACAATAATGTAACTATGGCATTCTTTTTCTGAGGAAGATTACAATAACTATTTCTTTGTTTGATTTCAATACTGGTTATTAATGCCTTTTATTCTGCATCGTTTTTGAAAGTATTTAAATTTATTATTTATATTTCTTTTTCTTAAAAAAAAGAAAAAGATTTTTTTGGCACGTGGCACTTGGCACTTGGCAGTTCATATTCAAACCTCTTCAATAAGAATTAGCAGCCATCATTTAATTTTCTTAGTCTCATGGCAGCATACCAACATTCATTATTTGTTATTTTGGGTTCCTTCCACATGGACCATAGACGTCATAATGTACTCTGGTGGTCCATCATCTTATTTACACATCAGGAGAATTGC